TGCAGAACAGCGGGAGCTCATGCTTAGGAAGATACCTAGCTAGAAAGTGCCCACTGACCACCCCCACCCACTGCAAGAGCCCAAGCAGAAGTTCCTTCCAGCCAGTTGCTACACCTCTGACTCTGCTCCTCCTCCCCTTGCTCTACATAGCAGCAGATATTGCTTTGGCCCTGTGCAGCACCAGAAGCTCCTTCATCTCCCACTGGAACCCAAATTCCTAGACAAGTGCGAAGTCCACCCTGGACAGGAGGCCTTTTCTTATGTGCCAGCTTCCACAAGGAATCCAGTTAGGCAGGACCCAGAAAGTCTGAGGAACTGCTGCAGTTTGCACCTGGGTAATGCCATGTCTTGACACTTAGAAGGAATCGCTTTCCTTAGCCTACGACCCATGTCCTGAGGGCAGTATTGTGGTTACCACGAAGACAAATAAATAATAAACCTAAAGCGCTTCAGACAGACAGACAACACTGAGGACAGTGGTAGAGACACCACGCAGTCAGTCAGGATGGGAAACCAACCCTTTTAAGGAAAAAAAACAGAAAGAAATCACTTGGTTTCTGTTTGAAGTTGTGCATAATTGCCGCGTCCCTTTTCCAGGTTTTTTTTTTCCTTTTTGTTTGGCCACATGCTACTAGTAGAATTCTCAGCGCAGGTGGAAAGAAAAACAGGGGGGTTAGAATAGCTAGAAAAAGTGCCAAGGGGCTGGGGGAGGAAGGGAGAGTTAAGCCACAGGATTACATACAAGAGAAACCGTCAAGAATCACAAAGAGAAATGAGAGGTAACACTTTATCTATCTGAAGGCGCGTTAGAGAGAACGGGGGAGAACATTACATGGACTCAGTACTTCATCTGGCCCGTGCGTCTTCGGGCCAGTTTCGACCTGTACAAAGCAGAGAAGAAAAGGTGCTGTTAAGCTTGGCATCGTCTCCAGAGACCTGTTATTTCCCCCCCTTCCCACTGCCAAGTCATGCTTCCCTTCCTGCCCCCTATTCTGCCCTTGCCTGTTTTGCTTTTCTAAAAAAAAAGGCAAATGCATGCAGGCTGTTGAGTGTTCACACTTGCATGTGCTGTCCCAGGCTCCAAGAATGAGATGACACCTTTAAGCCCCAGTTTAAAAGCTGCATTATACAGTTAACACAGCTCAGGTTTCAATTAGCTTTTTACTGAAATAGAAGGCGCCAGTCACGAGGTCACAAAATTTTAAAAAAAAAATCCGTCTCAAAGGGCCGTCAGGGAGGTTCTCTCATCCCACCCTTTCTCAAGGCAATATCATCTCCTGTCCTTCTGAAGAGACAGTAGCTTTCCAGCCCAGCTGACAAGGTGGCATCCATGATTTTGGTGGAATGCAGAGAGCCTATGAGAGTCTGCAAGGGCACAGGGAGGCCACAGGCCATTTTTAGCCCTCTACATCTCTGCTACATGCACGTATCTAAATTGGATTTGTCTGGCAAGCACACACGCAGCATCCATTGTGCTTTCTAGCCTTTTTGGCTAGCTCTTCGCTACACCAGCAGGCCGAGGGCTCTCTTGCCTCCCTCGGCCCCTCACCAGTACAAGAGGCTGCCTGGACACATCCCAGCTCGCTCAGGCTCTACTTCTTACCGTATTGTTCCAGCGAGAAGAGGATTGAAGGCATATAACCAGTCGTTCATGTCCTTGTCGTTGATGGCCTGGAGCAGGACCCCGCGGTGCTTCGTGCATACTGCAAAGGTGTTGGGTGTCTGAAAGAGTTAATCAATCACTGTGAAGTAGCTGGAATGACACCGCCCAAGGTTAACCCCTCCTTTCCACTGGAATGTGCCTATCCCAGCAGCAGTGTCCTATAGAACACTCATCAACTGACCAGACTTAGGTACTTTTCCTTAGGTTCCCTTGTTTTGCAGTTGAATGAACAATATGCTCAACCTGACATTATCAGGAGGACATATCATAGGCCTTTACTTAACTCGCAAACCCATATGAGCTGCTGTGGCAGATCCATTGAGCAGTGTACCTCTTACTGAGAGTAGGCACATGTGATGGGCTCAAGCTATCAGGGCACGAGTCAAGGGACAAAGAGCCACAACCCCCACGTCTCATCCATCCAAGACTGGCAGTGGGATGACAGAGAGGGCTAGAGAGCATCTAAGGTGGAGGCCTCAAACTCTATTCCACATATCTGAATCCAAGTGCTATCAACAGCTCCCTGTATGTTTACATCTCCATCACAGAAGTCATCCCTGCATGGGTTGGAAACCTTGCTGGCAGCTGCAGCAGAGGCACAGGGCTAGACTGGCCACTGAGATGGCTCTTGCCTCTGACTCCTAGAGGCAGCTCCCCCAGACCAGAGGTACATTGGACTGCCAGGGCAGTGTGAATCATGTATGCACATCACCCACAGATTCTGTTCTGTGCCCAAGAGGACTAGTCCCCAGACTGACCTTCACCATTGCCTGCTGATCCTCACTGTACTCCACCTGTGCCGTAGACAAGTTGATGATCCCCCTCTCCACAGGGTCTTTGTCGCTGTTGTAAATAAAGACGTACGGACGGCGAACCACCACAAAGTGCTTGGCCCAGGAGGCGGACAGCGGCTCCTTGAAGTGGAGGTACCCCTTCTTGGAGACCACAGAGCTGAAAAAGCAAACGGGAATTCCAGTTATTAAGACTGTCTGAAGTAAATCAGCTTCTGTTTCCCACCCCAAAACTACCAATTCCTCCATCAGAAAGCTTGACCCCTGCCCTTCAAGAAAATACCTGCAAATCCCTAGCATGAAAGAAGTGATGTACACAGCCCTATATTGAAATAACACCTGCACCATGAGTCTGCCCGTGCGGCAGGTCAACAGGAGCTTGGTGAAGGAGGCAGCTACAAGACTGAGCTTTAAATAAGGTAGAAATCAACACAGTGCTCCCCTGCCCTGCTGCTAGTTTAAGTCTCTTGCTACTTAAGGTTGCCTCTTCAGTCTTGCCAGCAACTGCTGCATTCATCTTCACAAGGGGCATGACACCTGGAATTCCAGGACAGCCCAATCTGCACGCAGGGAAGGTTCACTCCTGCCACATCTCACCCTGGTCTGATCTCCTCAATGTCAGGAACAAGGTTCAGGAATTCATTCTTTCCAGCTCTGGCCAGATAGGAGGTTTCCACTGCTGGGACCAGCTGAAATTGTTCCAACTCGGGGCATGGGCTGGAGGCGCGGGAATTTGCTTCTGGAGTCCTTTGAAAAATAAATAAATAAATAAGAGGGAGAGAAAAAGCGATCACTACAAAGCAAATGATCATGACATAGCTCTAAGCAATTCTGCCTCCCATCCTGTCCTGCAAGATTTCTACTCTGCCCTGGCACAAGCTTGATCCATGCCCCAGGTGCTTCCACAGAAGAGAGACCTGGGAGACTCTTATACACCTAAAACAGCATTTCATGTAAGATCTGCAGGATCGAGCTTGAGGCTCTCTCCTCATGGCAGAGAAGTGACTTGTCCTTGGGCTGCTTCTCACTATTCTTCCAGTGCATCCTCCTCCACACACTGACCACTACTGAGAGGGGCTATACACAATTCATAGGCAGCACTTGCTAGCCAGCCCTCCTGTCTCAGGGAGAGCTCAGCAAAGACTGAAGCACTGAACTGTTCTCCACAGAGATCTGAATCCTATTTTTATCTAAAATGTCCTTAATTACACAGATGAGAAGTAGGTTGTCAAGAAACAGCTCCCTGGATAAGGTGGTCAACTGTTGTTTGATCTCAATTAAACGCTTCTCTCGCCTAACTCCCAAGGATCAGAGTGGGCTTTATACACAGGGAAGCTGCAGGAAATCTCCATAATGTAGTGTGTTCACCTGGCTGCCCCTTCGGCAAGGAAAATAAAAGGAAAGAGGCTAAATATGCAGAAACAACAGAGAAGAGGAAGAACACCTGGAAAGGAGAGAATAGGCTGAAAAAAAAAAAGGAAGGGGAATGGAACAAGGACAGAAGATGCAGAGTGGGGGAGCCTGTTCACAATCCCGTTAGTCCTCCTCACTTACTTCTGATCCATTGAATTGCATCTTGAATCTACCAGAGAGGGGCAGGTGGATGAAGGTGTAAGGGTGGCACTGCTGAAGCTGGACACAGATGGGTCCCGCCCGATTGGAGAGATATCAGACAGCTGCAAGAACACACAAAACTGCTATGGTAAGGCACCACCCTCAAGAGACCACAGCCCTCAGAACACCCACCCCTTGCAGCCTCAAGTGTTCAGACCGTGGAGAAGTGTTTGTACCAAGACTGATTTTCATACAGGCCCCCTCAGCCCAGCACTGCATGATCTGGTTCTGTAATACTGCATTAGTTTCTTTATCCCCCGTTCCCAGAGCCAGAGCTCTCAAGCTGTTCAGTTTACACTCTGTTCTCAGGAAATACTAATAGTAAGGAAGATGCCTGGCCAAAGCAGTAATGATAAAAGGTGAGTGCAGGAGACTTCCTCCACGTCCCTCTTCTTCCCTGTTCCAAGACTCCAGGGCCAGGGAATGCCCCCACCTCCAGACTCAAGCTGAACAGAACGAATCAAGCCCAGCATAGGTTGGACCGTTTAGGTACAGTTTGGGCCCTTGGCATTTTGACCCTGTAGATAGTAGAACCTTTACTTTCCATGATCGTTCAATACACAGCACTGACAATTATACTTCAGGTCACCAAACATTCAATGTTGCAATTCCTACAGGTATTTGAGAAAGGGATAGACAGAGTATTACAGGAAACAACACTGGCCTATTGCACACTTGGCTCATGCCATACTGCAAACGCCTTACCTTACAATCACTAATGCTGTTGTACACCTGGTTAAATTCACGGTTGAATGTATGGGTGAGAAGCTGGAGGCACTAAGGAGACAAAAAAGAAGAGACTAGACATTTCCAATTAGGTTTCAGGAGAACACAGATCAAACAGCATGGAATCTACCAGTACCACTTAGTTGCTCACTAAAGTATCAGTGAAATCTGAACTGCACATGTCCAGGCAAATCCAGTCATTAAAAAATTCACTCAGATAGAAAAGGCACACGTTATTCATATAGTGCAAACATTTTACACACAGAAGTGCTAAGAGTTTGCCTACAAACAGGGGACTGGACTTGACGGTCAGGAAGACCCCTTCCAAATCTGCATTCCTAAGAGTATAATCTCAAATTGGCATTTCCATTTCACTGAAGGGAGATGGGTTTTGATTGATTGAGGGACTATAACTTTGGCCATAGCAGCTTCTTAAAACAAGGCTCTGCAAAGCACATGACTCTCACCACGTATGAGACAGCAAGAGATATGCACATCAGATGAGAAAAGAAATAGGCTCTAGGTCCCTAAAGTGTACGTGAGTTATCAGGGATTCCACCTACCCAAGAAATCAGTAGGTCCTAGTTACGGTCAAGAAGTGCTAAGGTCCTAGCAGCATATTGTCTCTTGCCCACCAGGTCACCTACTCCTTTGGGAACAATAACAAGGTCTACCAGAGCCTGATTTGTAATGACAAAGTTGTGCAGGGGAAAAGGCTTTTGTATTTTCTACAGTGACTGGGCTGTAGGTTTTGGTGTCTTCTCGCATGTCTTTCCTGCCTCTCCAGTGCCACATACTGGACCTGTCCCGATCTCTCCATAACCCGTACCTTGGTGGCCAGCTCTTTCTCCCGATCCACCAGGCTCTCAATGTCTGTTGAGTCATAGCCACTGCTTTCACTGGGTGTGACAGCACTCTCAAAAGTTGTGGTGGAGATCTGGGAGGAGATGCTAGTAGAGGTGCTGAGGGTCCCGCTGCTCAGACTGGGAGACAGCGAGTCACTCAGGGACTTGGGGATGCTGTCGCCAAGCTTCTCACGCAGCAGCAGGAAGTGACGGGTCTTTTCCACCTGAGAACCAACAGAACAAACACCAACTCCAGGATGGTCCTTACCCTGACATATGCTCCCCCACTAGGATATGAGAGCACTGGTGCCAGACAGCAAGTTTACCATGTAGACAAAGCCTAAGGAT